CACAATATCGCAATAATGCAAGTGTGACAATATTAGACTATTACATAATTGTTGCTTAACAGGATTACATAAAAAGCTACGTAGCTTATATAAAGTCTGTAATAATCCAAAGCACAATGCAACCTTTCGTTTAACATGATTTTCAAATCTGAGATGTTCGTCCATATAGAGACCAAGATTACGTACACAATCTTCTCGTGGTATTGGCACATCATTAATACAAATACTCATATCATTTTGCTTCATTGATGTTACTTGTTGTCGAGTACCAAATGTGATTGACGTGCTCTTTGAAGGATTGAGAACTAAAGAATGCTTCCGAGACCACTCTACTATAGCGCACAGATCCCTATTTAATCCAGACACGGCAGGCAACATGTCCGTTGGACTGGTATGAACATAGAGCTGTGTATCGTCTGCATAGAGGTGGTAACGACAGTGAGCAATTACCTCTGTAATACTGGCTGAGTATAGAGAATAGAGTGTAGGACCCAAAATAGAGCCCTGTACTACGCCTTTGGTTATAGCTAAAGGTTCTGAAACGTCAGAACTGCCGTCGTCTTTCAAACATTGAACTTTTTGAGAACGACCCGAAAAGTATGAGCTAAACCAGTTACAAACCGTATCATCAAAACCAAAGTGCTTTAGTTTAGCCATTAAAAGTTCCAGATTTACACAGTCAAATGCGCGAGTAAAGTCCAGCAACACCAAGACCGTACCTAACCCCTGATCGGAAGCAGATAATATATCATCAGTTATATTAAGCAGTGCTGTAGTGGTGCTGTGGTTAGGGCGAAATCCCGATTGCAAGAGAGGTAATATCTTTGCAGTATTAATAAACTCATTAACTTGAATTTGAACGCACTTTTCAACTATTTTCGATAGGGCTGGTAATATATTAATTGGCCTCAGGTCACCAGCGTTTTCAATCTTTGACCTTTTTGGAATTGGAGTTATTAAAGCGCATTTCCAAACCTCGGCAAAAGTACCGTCCTGTAATGATTTATTTATGATGGTCAGCAAAGCGGGCAACGAATAAGGCAATGTCAATTGTATCATATACATCGAAATGCCATCATCTCCCTGCGATTCTGTACATTTTTTATTAATAATATGTTCGATTGTTGATTCAGTAACAATTTGAAATTTAAAGACTTGATCAGTGCATTTGCTGGACCTGATCTTATTTAACTCATCTACGTCTGTAGGTAGCGCAGGTATACTATCAATAAAATATTTGTTTAGTGTTTCTGGATCACGAAGGGATAACGGGATCACACTCGCTTGTTTAGGCTTAACGATATTCTTAAGATGGCGCCACATACTCGCAGGCTTGTTCCTATTGTTATTAACAAACTGAGTAAAATATGCTTGCTTTTCCCGTTTAATAGCGCAATTATACTGATTACGTAGATCCCGATAGAACTGCTTAGCCGAATCCGACTTGATTACCTTTGCCTTTTGACAAGCACGATCGCGAGTCTTTCTTATTTGCAAAAGAGTTTCCGTCAACCAAGGACAGGGAGGATTTTTAATTTTACGCTTACGAATTGGTGCAAATGTGTCAAACAAATCAATAATGAGGGCATTAAAGACCAATACCATATCGTTGACATCGCTATACAAAGATACAAATTCCCATGGTGTATACATAGCTGCTTCAGATATCACTTTAGCGTTGTCTCGTATAGGTCTACTAGTGACATACCTAGGGTGAAATTTCTCTGGCTTTATTGGGTATTCCGCCAAGACCATACCATGGTCGCTCAAGTCATCGTTATGTATTACTGATATATTAATTGGTTTCAGTTGATCACGAGAAAAAATTAGATCAATCAGGCTTTCAGACTTGTCCGTTATACGAGTCGGCAAATTAACAACTTGTATAAGTTTATAAGGGTCAGTGAGATTGGCTAGGCAATGAGGCAGATAAATATGACTATTCTCGTCTAAACAATTGATATTAAGGTCTCCCACCAAAAATAAGAAATCACACTGTGGAGAAAACAGCTCTAGAGAATTATTCAAACATTCAACAGCAGTCCCACGACTGATCGCTTCGGGTCGATAACTAATTCCTACAATTATTGTGCTGTGTTTGAGTTTCAACTTGAGCCATTGTTGCTCCAAATCGCCAACTGGATGCTGAAGAACTCGAGCATGCAGTTCACATCGAATGTAAGCACCGACGCCACCACCCCTACTGCAACGCGGCTCGTGAAAAAATGTATAACCTGGAATAGTGAGTGGTCTGGTATCCGAGTCACATCTGAGCCAAGTTTCAGTAAGGCAGAGCATATCGAGATCATTACTGGTAACAGAGTCTCTTAGTTCGTCCCAACCAGTATTAATAGACCGAACATTCAACAATCCTAACTTAAATCTATGTATCTTCACTTTACTTAAATAATTAACCATCTTTATAATAAGAGAAACACCAAGAAGTGATGATACAAAACAAGTTAAGCTAAATTCTTAACCATGTCCATATTACGCACGTGAATGTGGTCGGCCTCTTCTGTCTTCCTAGCATACACTCTTCCATTACGAACCCAAATAAACTTGAACCCCAGTTCCCTCGCACGGATACGTGCTGCGGCATGTAATTGCTTGTTCTCATATGTCAGGTGTTCGGACACATAAACCGCCGTTTTTCCCCCGGCTATACCTAGATGAGAGGTGTTTAAACGATCGCTGCCTTTCTTCTTCTTATTAAATTCAAAAGCTGATTTTAGAAATTCATCTCGACGCTTTTGATTACAAAATTTAACCAATATAGTTCTGGGACGCGTGTTCTTCGAATCGATTTTTGCTACACGTGTGCAGCAATGAATGTCAGATTCAACCACAGGACTTTTTATGATGTTTCCCAGTTGCTGAACTACGACAGTCAAGTTCTCCTGTTTAACCTCCGGAACACAATGGATCTCTAAGTTGACTGCACGAAGTTGCTGGTCTATCATTCTCACCCTACCCTCTAAATCAGCATTGATGGTTTTTAATTGTTCGTTCTCTTTCTGTATGCTTAGAATAGTATTGTTTTGTGCAGTAAAATCGGCTTTAAGTTCTTCTAAATCTTTATTAAAAAATGATAAAGATTCTTGAAACTCGACAATCAAGGTCTTCATATCCTGTAGTTGCTTGTTGTTTATTTCAAAATGACGATCCAATGACGCCTGGAGTTCAGATTTCAAAACCTGTTTTATTTCATCCATAGTGACGCATGAGCACCGTTTAGGCTTATTTCTGCAGGTTACGTTATTCTCCTCGTCCGAATTTATATCTTCGCGTATATTCAATCGTATAGGAGTATTGGTGTTATCACCCTTAGGACGCTTGGACAGACACAAATCACAACACCATTTATTCTTGTTCTCGCTTGTCATCAGTTGAAACCGCTTGTCCGAAACATTGGCACATTGTAGATCGTATGTCTGTTTACAGGAAGAACACTTTATCCATCGTCCATCTTTTATGATGTTAGGGCATGCGAAGCATGTGTTTTTCTTATTTTTATCCATATTAAAATAAATTAAAATTATCAAAAAAAAAGAAAACAAAAGCAAAAAGTTCACAATCTGATTTGGGATTTGAACCGAAGACCTGTAGACGATTATGCGAGTTTGTTTCCAACTACGCCGACGATCTTGTGAGAAATCTGTCCAATTTGGCTCTTATATTACTGGGGTACATGCAAATATTTAGCATTTGGGGGTACAAATTTTACAATTTCGACTGCCAATACCACCAATTGAATATTTTATCAAATTGTTCGATAATTTATTTGAATTTTATGTCACCAATTTACACTGTTTCACTAAGATATTTACACCAACATAACGAATAACGTTTATACTTTTCATATAATAAACTTTTTAATTGTATTACGAAATTTTGAAGCACTTTTTGATTTTTATTGTTGACGGAGATTATTTAGCGGCTTACTTGTGTGAGGTATCGGACGAATGCTGTTTTGTCGCGCAATGGTGTAATGCTCATCAAACTAAGGTCTAAAATGGCAGCTACCGAAATTGAAGTGAGATTTCATTTTACAGAATCACCTTATAGTCAAGTTCCAGCTAAACCATATAGCCTGTGATAAAGTATAATGTACTAAACTAACAAGTCTAATTCCATTCAAGTATAAACTTCGGGAAACTTCATGAGTAACGTGTATAGACAAGAGAGACTGTAGAAGTTTATTTGTCTGTGGTTTTGCTCATGTACTTATAAAAAATACAAAACAACAAAAAAAATTGTTATGCAGATCATGTTTAACGCCCATACAGGCACGCAGTTCTGATAATGAATCTTATGCATCAGCTAAAAATACTCAAGAAAAAACCTTATCTATTAAGTAGATAGTAGTATCGTACTCGTAACTCTAATATGATGCTACTGACTTCTATATATCTTTCTTGTGTTCAAATCAAATCATCTTTATTGCGGATACAGGTTACAAAGTTGTTATTTAAATATATTCGGCCATATTCCGCCTTATGGGCTTGCAATATAATATTTGATTTAAAATCATGCATTATTTCATTGTCAATTTAATAATTCTTACATAGTTTATTCAAAATGTCAATGTATGATAAATCAAAGATTGTATTTCGTGCACGTTTTTTTTTCTATAGCGTAAAAACTTACGTCTTCCATAAATTCACGGACCGTGTAGTAGCATTTGTCTTCTAAAAATATTGTAATTTGTTTTAAAATATATTGTACACTGTTATTTCTCGCACACTTATATTAAAAAGGCGACAGTTTGGGAGTGTGCGAGTGTGTATGTTTGTTACTTCTTCACGCCTAAACGGCTGAAGCGATTTTAATTAAATTTGGTATGGAGTTAGCTGACACCCTGGATTAACACATAGAATACGTTTTACTGCGGGAGAACATTCCTACTAAACCGCGGGTAACGCCGCGGGGCACAGCTAGTTTACTATAAATATAAGTACCATGATGAGGTGTTGATATTTTTTTTCATTTTGTTACAGATCGAGGAGGTTATGCAGCAGAAGGGGCCGGTGGTGCCTCATAATATTAAACTACAGTAAGTTAAGACCAGTTACAACAACAATGAACCTATTTAAGTTTAACAGAGTTAAGGCATATCGGATTTTCCGCTCGTATTCGAGCACCCGTCTGATTAAGTTTACCCGCTTGGATTGAAGCGCCCGTCTGAGTAAGTTTACCCGCTTGGATTGAAGCGCCCGTCTGAGTAAGTTTACCCGCTTGGATTGAAGCGCCCGTCTGAGTAAGTTTTCCCGCTTGGGTAGAAGCGGCCCGTCTGAGAAACTTTTCTCGCTTGGATTGAAGCGCCCGTCTGAGAAAGTTTTCCCGCTTGGATTGAAGCGCCCGTCTGAGGAAGTTTTCCCGCTTGGATTGAAGCGCCCGTCTGAGGAAGTAACCTCCACCTTACAGAAGATCACAGTAAAATAAAACTACCCTTTGGTGGTATCGTGTTTCTCTGTGTGAGTAAGGATTGAGGGCTCCACGGGGTAGGGGATGGAGTCAGGGTAGGCATCGGCGCGAGTGAGAGTGATATTTTTTTCTATCGTAAGCGTCAAAAGACTATGGTGACCGTTTACTATCAGGAGGGCCATATGCTTGTTTTTTTGTTTAAAAAAAATCAATAACAATAATATAAATTCTTATTTTAAAACGTTTTACTTTGTGATAAAACTTGCATGTCTCTCGGTTGTCTTACGACTTAAAAATACTTATTAATAATTAACCAAAGAATATACGTGTTAATTTTATTAAATGCATGGTGAAGTCAATAATTGATTTATAAGATATCCGCAAAGAAATAGCTTTTATTGAATATAAAAATAGGCAGCTATAAAATCCTTCATATTTTAAAATGCATTGAAAGTAAAGAGGCGCCATCTGTTTAGCTTGGAATAAATTAAAACGTAGACGCGTGATGTCGTCACAACACGTTCCATTAGTACGCTATTTTCGCCGCGTCTCACATCGGGGATATAGCTCAGTGGTAGAGCATTCGACTGCAGATCGAGAGGTCCCCGGTTCAAACCCGGGTGTCCCCTATGTACAAACACATAACTTTTTTCTTTTTAAGATATTTTGTTTGTAAAATAGTACTACACAGTCAATAAATTGTGTCAGGTGAACACCTGTATACGATACCATATTGATTTGTGCTTGTCAATATTTTCTTTGCAATTTCTCCTCTCACTTGGAGTATGAAACAGATTGCTTATTATTTACATTATTATGTTCTTCACCCGTGTTCAATTATATGTTTTTTTTTTCTTTGAAAGAGGTTTTGTTTGTGAAAATATATAAATTGCATCGCAAGTTTATTGGCAACGCGCATGTTGATTTGTATTTGTCATTATTTTTTTCGTAATTTCTTCTATCATTTACCTGAAAGAGAAAATATCTTGCATAATTTAATCCTTTATAGATATTTATTTGTCTATTTCCTTTTTTAATTTCATAATAACTATAACAGATTAGATATTATCAAGATAATCACTAAAACTTTGATTAAGTACCTCCTATAATGCGATTACGTTCTTTGCTAGAAATACAAACAAAAAGTTTTATACGATTGCGTTGTCTTATTTAGAAAAAGGATTTGATTATTTCAATAACTTTATATAGGTATTGAGGAGCTCGATGGCGCAAGTGGTTAGCGCGTTTGGCTGCGATCGTTGAAGTTAAGCAACTTTCGCAGTGGTCGGTCATTGGATGGGTGACCAAAAATTTACTATCTCGAGCCCCTCCGTGCTTCGGAAGGCACGTTAAGCCGTCCCGGCTGCCTCTGCAGTCGTTAGCACCCACCAATTCGCACTGGGCCCGCGTGGTGGGTCATGGCCCAATCTCGCTATTCCATCCATAGGGAAGGCCTGTGCCCCAGCAGTGGGGACATTAATAGGCTGATGATGAAAAAAAATACAGGTATTTAAAGCATTTAACTGCTACATGTTTAAATCTAAAGAAAATTGTTCGTAAAGAAAGTCCCATACCTACCGTCTTAAACCCGAATAGAGTGGTTTTATTTCTAGTATAAATTTCTTAAAATGATTTGAGTTTTCTGTTTGCTTTAGACAACCACACAGCGCAAGCTCGCAGCAGCTCCGTAGCAGGGCTTTTTCAGCTAATTTCTTCAAGGCCACATTCAGCTCGCGGAGCAAGGCGGTACCATCCGCCAGTTCTACGTACGAAGTCGTTGAAACCACCAAAATAGGCAGCGCGGAGACTAAACCTATAACTAGAAACAGGCCTAGGACAGGTAATGAAGCATATTTGATACTTACTCTTATAAAGATCAAGTCTATAATGCGATTCAACTAACAATAAGACAGACTGGGCGCCATATTTTGACGTCATAGCTGTCAATTCAAACCAAATAGGTAGAGTAAGCAAAAATAAGTTTTTTTTTAATAAAACTTATTTCCTTAGATTAAGTGAGAAAAAATATCAGATTTTTTTAATAAAATTAATTTACTCAAATTGAGAGAAAAAGACAACCTATTTTTAATAATATTTCTTTATTAAGACTGTGTGAGAAAAAACATTAATCAGAATCTAGCTCTTCAATTCCGCTCATCTCTGCATTACCGCCGGAGTAGTTATGAACAATCATGCAGGTCACATACGAAACATGCATCCTATATGTAAACGAAAGTATTAAATCGAGTTTCTGAACGCAACATAAAGTGACATTTGGTTGAAGATTTAGGTTATGAACCATACATAGCCAAAGCTCAATAAATGAAAAAAAATATCAACCAATATTAATTATCAATATTTAGCATTAGCTGAGTGCTAAAAAAGTGTTTGTGTCCAAAATTTCTTGTCTATGTTCCGAGATTTTTTTGCAAACTGTACTTTTCAAGCGACATTTGACAGATGGAGGTCATTGGCTTTCCTATTCTTATTTGAATCGTATTATAGTTACGAAGAAAGAAACTTTTTTCTGCCTTATTAAAACACCTCCTCCGCAATCCTCTATATTTCGTTATTATGAGTCGAGTTTTTTTTTGCAGTGCATTAAGTATGTTTAACCTTTTTTTCAGTCACTCAAACGGACCCCACGGCAAGGATCAAGCTAAAACGAACAGACCCCAACAAACCGTTACCAAAACGACCTGATAAAATACTGTTAAACCCAAGAAAACCAGAGAGGAAAGCATTACCAACTACTCCTGCTGAACCAAAAACTCCTACAACACCTAAAGATACCAAAAATGACCTGAAGAGTCCAAAGGTGGTATTGCAAATTGTGAAAAAGTCACACGCACCGCCCACGCCGGACAAGGCTAGTATTTTGCCGCCATCTTTGAAACCAAAAGTCGTTGAAGAAAAATTCAAATTGACAAAAATCATAAACAACAATGATGTTTGGACAAACGCTAATGAAACTAAGCATGTGGAGAAGAAAGCATCGATTTTATCAGTGAGGTAAGTTTTAAAAAAATTTCATACCTTAATTATTAATATTTCTTCATAGTAATTAGTATCAAAACATCACTTTACTGGCCGAATGAGTTTCAAAAAAGCGCGGTTCGGTGTAAACCTTTTGACAATACGAACTGATAGCGTAGGTAATACGAAAAATAGAAATTATTACCAAGCTTTAAGGTTTAATTTTAAAACGTCAACAATGCACCTGAACTGATTTGACGCATGTGTCGTCGAGATAAACTTTTTTGCTCATACCGCTATCCTTTTTTACCGCGCTGTTTCATCTCTTTCTGTTCTTCGCGTCGTGTTGTCGTCTTTTTCACACGTGCAGGACGAATTCCTTGGTAGTATAATGCGACCGCTTTATAAAGGCGCTTACAATGTTTGCTAGGTTAAGTGAGGTCGTGGGGTATTTTAATTGATAGGATGTCGGAAAGAGATGGGAGAGCATCTTTTTCGCTTGCGGTGGTCGTTTCGTGGTGTTGTGTCGTGGAACAGACAAGTTTGTTTGAATCGCGGTGGGCAACGGATGTCGCTTAGGCCGGTGCATATTTATTTCTTAGAACTTTTTATGTAACATAATAAAGTTGTTGCTTACTTATGGTGCGTTAGTTCGTGTAGTCAGTGGAGTGTTTCATTTTCGGTGATTGGAATTCGGTGTTGTGCTAGTTTAATAGTGTCTCGATGAATGTTGAGACGTGTAATGCCAGATGTTATAAGACAATTGAAGTTATTTACTGTCTTACGACCATTGGCTTTCTCAAATTTGTGACGAGCATGACACGTTAATGGTGATCTACATGACGTGAAAGTTGTTTGTTATGTTAACATGACGGTTTTGCGTTACTTTCCTAAGTACTTACCCACATATAAATAAAATATGTTTGCTTGTGTGTGACGATGTCGTTACACGGAGTGCAGTGTATGTTATCAAGATGATGAATGGAATGAATAGATAAACCTTATTTTAAATAACAAATTGATCTAACCGGCTTCCGAAGTGAATATCACGTGCATATTAATTTGTCGTTTTAATGTTGAACTGGTAGTGAAATGAAAAGAGAATGTGACAGAACTTTCCCGTACAGATAGCAGTTTTTTTATGCATTTAACTGCAAATTGTTTAAATCCAAAGACAATATAACTAGAAAAATATCGACTCGGTCCAAGATCTGACATCCGGGATCCCGACAGGATCTCATCGGAATCCTGGTCCTAATTTTTTTTTAAATTTATATTATCTTTAGGTTTAAACATAATTTTGTGGTTGACCGATTGAACCCAATGGTTGAACCTAATCAGTATTGTTTCTGAACATGAACTGGACCATAAACCTTATGTAACACATTATATCAACATTAGTTTTCTATTAAGCACTCTAAATATGTATGACGTTTTCTATGTACATAATATTGTGATTCAGTGAGACTTCAAATTTAAACCTTAACCCCCTTATTCCAAAATGCGGACTGAAGTTAGTCATGATTTAAAACTGATATTGTCACTTGTTAGCTAAAAAGAAGACAGAGACAGCATTACTTTTAAACCATGATTAACTTTAGTCCGAGGAGCTCGATGGCGCAAGTAGTTAGCGCGTTCCGCTTGGATGGGTGACCGAAAAAAAAACCAACAACACCAACCCGCACTGGGCCCGCGTGGTGGGTCATGGCTAGGGCTGCCATCCGTCCGGGTTTCCCCGGATTTGTCCTAGTCTACGGGGCGTCCGGGGAGCGTCCGGGCGGGGTTTTATTTGTAGTCCGGGTTTAAAAATTTACGGCAACGCATGAGTGGCCCTTGGTGCTGCAAGTGTTCATGGGCAGCAGTGACCACTTATTATGAGGTAGACTGCTAGCTCTTTTGCCTAGATCAACATAAAAAAGTTGATTTGTGATTTTTTTATTGGTATGTCCGGGTTCTGGGCTCCAAAATCCGGGGTTATCACGCGTTTTATCCTGGTTGCCACATTTTAGAGATGGCAGCCCTAGTCATGGCCCAATCTCCCTATTCCATCCATAGGGAAGGCCTGTGCATCAGCAGTGGGGACATTTATAGGCTGATGATGATGATGAACTTTAGTCCGCATTTTGAAATAAGGCAGTCAGTGTAATAAACGAAAAAGCTTTTCTTTATTTGGTTATTTCCAACCTCCAAGCAAGCCACTACATGCCTCTGCGATTTTTATTGTTTACCTTAAATATTTCCGGGCTATCCCACACGTAGTCTATCTTGCTTCATAATGGACATTAATAACAGGAAGCCTCGGAAGATTTGATTGTTCTCACGCTGTCAAAAATCAACTTCCTTCTCAACTTGTTTTTTCCTCATACACACTGTTTTTATAACCATACCTACAGAACGGGTAATTTACGACATCCTATATATTAATCTCAAAATGAGTTGATATCTGAAGCACGTTTTGAAGAGACCAAGACTTTTTCGAAAATACCGCAGAGACCCTATACTGATAGGATCCATATGACAAGGGGATTTTCAGGGCAAGAGCTAATAGGCATTATTTCAGTCTGCATGCTCCAGCTTAGGCAACAGCGTTGCCGCGATTTGATTGTGGTCAGGTTTACTAAACTTTTATGGATGAAAATGTAAATGTAGTGTCAAAAACTTTACTAGCAAATTGCTGCTCTGTAACACAAATCAACAAAACTGTTCCGATTTTTAGATTTTCTAGTTGTAACGAGAATATTTCCTGCAAATATTTTTATTCTGACCTTACAGAAAATATTTTTTTTGTTACTCAAAGCCTGTTTCTTTAAAATGGAAAGTAAAAAAACAGGATCTTCATCGCTTGCTTGAACTCAGATAACATCTTCTGATTAAGTGAAAAATATCCGTAGTGTCCGACTATGATCTGCAAATCAAGCTTTAATGCGTCTATACATAGGTAATTGTATAGACGTCTTATAAATGCCTTGTAATAAGTTTGCACACGTGTGCCCTAATTGAGAGGTTGCAATGTACGTAGGAGTAAATTGCAGCATGTTTGAACAATTTGCCCGTTAGCGATGACTATGACTGAAAAAATATAGTTTTTATGACTGGGAAATACATTAATGTGGACTTATGAGTCTTTTCGATGATCGAAGCATTCATGCAGGGGAAATCATATCTCTAAAAGCCAGAAATATTCTGAGTTTCTTAGAAGCTACGCGCCAATACTTTGATTTGTGGACGAGTCATAAAATATCTTTTAGGTTTCAATGACTTCAATTCCTGACTGCATGGCCGCAAACATCTAAAATAATAATAAAAAAGTCTTGTCATTTTACCACGTCGATTTTTGGGCTCTTTGTGGACTGATTCGTTGACCATTTACTTAAAATAATTTCAAAATGATATTAAGTGAACGTAAAATATGCGACTTTTAGGATTCTTCTTCATATAGTCTGCAATTCTGCTGACGTCAAGAAATATGATTTTGCTAAATTGCGGAAACTTTTCACTAGATAATACCTGCCCTGAAAGATCAAATGGATGCCGTCTGATAGCCCAACTATAGTTATAACCAAATATTCGAACGTTGTTGTTTCCAGTACGTTGACCATAACTTAAGCAACATTTATAAATGCTTCTCTTTTTTTGCAATTTGTAATTCTTATCTTATATATATATCAATTGCTGTTCGTTAGTCCCGCATTTATCTTATCTTGTTCTTGAAATGATCGTGGAGGTCTAGGGAAGGTTTAAAAGGTGAGAAAATATGGAAAAATTGACTTGGGTCCGTCATTTCTTACAAATTATTTTAACCCGTACGAAGTACGCGGGGTCAACTAGTTCTTAATATTACTTCGTAATTTTCGAATAAAAACACTTCTAACAGAACAAAATGCTTTGAAAACGACACATTCCTTGTTGACATCATACCTAGTCTCCAATATGATATTAACAATCTCAAAGAAGTGAGAATCCCTTTTTAAAGAGGATAAAAAGGTTAATAAAGATATTAAGATATTCCTTTTCACAATGAAATTGTATACTTTTGTGAAATCCTTTCGTAACCCAATATCCGGAGTTCGGACAATTTATCTCGTGTCAAAAAGGTTAGCCGTTGACATATATTTGCATGATGTTTTTGGACTGTTGATAAACAATATTTTGACGTGTTCAGGAGGAGTTCTTGTTTTTCTTTATATTATAAATATAAAATTGAAATATGTAAAAATTATTCTGGCTAAAACTACTTTAGGAAAAGACTTAAGAACCATCGGTTTATATTTAGGCAGAGTATGGGTAGACAGCGGTAGCAACAGATTTTATACCAACGAGAACCACAATAGCTTGTAATCGCAAGGGATTCTCTACTCAATTATATTTAACAAAGCGTCTTAAATCTGAACAACGACAATCAATTGATAGTAGGGGAGCCTATTACTAAGTATCTACACAGCCCATGCAGGACGCAAACCCTCTAGTAGCTCATATTGATAAGACTGACGATTTAGATGCGACCAAAAGTCATGGCCGATTGTTGATATTTTTTCTGCTCTAGTCGTTCGACCCTATATAAAGGGCTCAGGTATGGTGAGAGTACTTCACAAGGTGCAAGCTTGGGGTCCGCTACTATAGTAAGCAAGTAACATTACCACACTTAAAAATAAAACGAGCTCTTGTCAAAGTTAACCTGATCATGGTTTGTTCATTCTAATTGGATTTCAACATGTACCGTTATACATTTATCAAGCCGTTTTCCTATATTTCCATAATGATAAAAACTATATTCAACACGAACAGATTAATGGCGATTATTTTTTTCTAAGGACAAGTTATTTAAATGAAATATGTTATCACACGCGCTTATCATTGTTAGTTACATAATTAAACTGGCTGTTTGGGTTCACAAGTATATTGATTAAGTAAGATAATTATATTTAGTATCAAATACTTATATATAGGTATTAAAGAAAGTTATTTGTGTGTACAGTTTCCCAGGCCGTGTGTCATTGCCTAATCGCAATGATTTCATTAATAACTACAAAAGCAAA